TGATATTCGGAGCTGCCCGGATGGTGTTGAATGCTAAGTGCCCCAGCAAAAATTGTATTTTGCTCTGCCTGTCTACCTTGCTGCTTTTCTAGAAGTCATTCCAGACATACAGGGTTTAAGGTGCGGCTTGTGTATCACCAAACCCAAATCCCAAGTCATCGTGTTAGCAACAATGACTGAACTGATGGGAAGCTCTCCAGATACGGCCACTGCAGGCATTTGCATGCGGCACGTTGGGCTGAATGATGTACTTGCATAAACGGTCTTGACTGTTTCCGTTTTGTGGTGCGGCACTGAGGCGTCCCGAGCTGCAACTAGCTTTGCAGGCAGGTGACGCAGATGCCGTCCGATTCTTCGGCCGCGGTGCCGGCCTGACGCGCGTCTGCTTCGAGGGAGCAGCTCTGACGCCTCTGGAGCTGGCAGTACGGGAGGAAGAGGCCGGGGTCTTCTAGACTAGACCTGCTTAGCAGCTGTTTAATGAAATCATGCGCTCAAGGACAGCTCGCTGGCCTTAGCCTTGGCTCTTTTCGATGCCCCCGGGTCCGAGCTGGCCTTTGGCCTGGCGCAGCTTCGTCGGCGCCTCGAGGACTGAACCCTCGAGGTGTTGGCGCATTTGTAGCTTCTTGTAGCTTTTCTTTGCAGCTCAGAGCCGCCTGGGAGGAAGCAGCTCAGAGCCTTCCGAGCCTTGCCAGCTACTGGAACAACGCCTCCGATGGCCTTGATGCGCTTCGACGTCTGGTGCCAACAGCCCTGCACCCGACAGCAGTGGAGCTGGAAACCTTAGGCGACATCCCCCAGAACTGGTTAATCTTCTACCAGATTAAGATCATGTGTGTCAATGCTCACAGTTCGCACAACGCATCTATGCGAAGGGAGATGGAATTGCTGCTGTCCGCTCAAGGCTTTGATTCCTTTGCCCGAAATTACTCCTTGGGGGCCATTCTACTGGCCATTATCCTGTTCGTGTTCGGCGTGATGGTGTACGTCTCCTTCCGGCTGCGTGCCTTTGGATGGCTCGAGGCTCCAATCTCTTTGGCTGAGATGCTTCCCGGTGCCTTTGCTCCAGAACGACTGGCCGATCCAGACTTTGACCCGAGCCGCCAGAAGAAGCAGCTGCCTTATCGCGTTGTCAAAGGACAACTCATTGCCAGGCCCTCCTCGATATCTCACAACTTGAGCAGCTTCTTTCAGGGGATCTTTGGCGTGTACGCCTCCTGGCTCCTGCTGTGCATACGAATTCCCCCCGAGAAGGCGCAGAGCTTAGATTAGTGGCCGAGCCTGCAAGTCTGCCTAAGAATAAGGGTCCTTGCAGCAACTCTGCAGGACACCTTCGACGAGGAATACTTGACAGATGATGACGAAGAATGTCGGCTGAAGGTCCGCGACGTTTGTGCCTTCAGGGCAAAGAATGTCGGTGCGGTAGAGGTCATTTTCCGAGCCTTGTCTCTATGCGCGCTGGAAGTGTGGCTCCTGTGCTACACTGGGCGATATGGCGATGCCTTTTTGCTCAATTTGCTACTTAGCTCTCATGAGTGAACAAGCCTTCAAATCTTATCAAGTCATTATGTTGAGAGCCAAGAGCACTCAGGCTTTACGTATGCTACGCTCGCATGGTCACCAGTGTCGCTGCCAGCAGCGTTCCTACACCTATGCCTGAAAAGACTGACTGTGACGCCGAGCTGATGCCCGGGCAGGAGAGGGTTTAGAATGGTTTGAAGCATCTCGCTGACATGTTCTGTTTGGGTTGTGGGGATTCGGTAGGCCCGGTAGGAGATGGATGCTGCTGGCGCGGTGACGGCCATTTTTGGAGTGCAGCATGGTCCGCGATGGGCACGAGCACAATGTACCACCCGAAGCACTGCTGCACCCAATAAGACCAAGCGACAACGGCGGCTCCGCCGTCGTGAGACACCAGACAGTGGTAACAGCGGGACCGAAGCGGAAGCCAAGGACCCAAAGGACCCAAAAGACCCAGAGTCGCCCAGAGGGGAGGGCGATGGGCCCATGTCCCCGCAATCTGCATCAGAATCCAGCTTCAGTGACCGCTTCCAGCGCCAGCTGCTCAGTGCCGGTGTGATGCATGTGCAGCATTCGGAGCTGCTTGAACAATCTGTCGTCAGCATGTGCAGCTGCTTCTTGTCAGTGGTCTTTCTCATGCACTTGCGCTGGACTGTGACGGGTAGTTTGAAGCGCTTCTATGCTGGCTCCGAGCCCTTGGAGCTGGTGCAGGCTTATGGTCTACCAGACTCTTCGGACAGGCTGATGTCAGTGGCAGCTGAAGTCCTATTGATGTTCTTATGCTTCGAGCGGCTCTATGACATGTCCAGCCTGCTGCACGTATCCAGCCTCTCGCTGAAGCAGAGGAACACAGCCTTGCGCTTCATGCGCGAACACCAGCCTCCATGGGCCTTCACAGGTGTTCGGGAGGTACCTTTGCAGCGTGCCACTTCGTATTGTGAGGAGGTCGTCCGTTGCGGGGACTTTGCATTGGAGCTCTCTGATGCGCGCTGGCGTGTGGTGCAGAGGCCGGTGGAAATCGTGGTGACGATTACGGAAGCCTTGCTGCTCCTAGCGCTGCTACTCATCATCCTTCCTTTCCTTCCGTTGCCATCGGCGGCGTTGCCGGGAGCGCAGGGCAAGGTTACGTTCCACTTGCTCTATGAGCACTTCCGGTTTTTGGAGCCCTGGCTGGATCCTGTAGTGCCTCTGACGGTCGGACTGGTGATCGTGTCGCCCGCAGTTAACACACTGCTCCAGGCGCACTTTGCCAACGCAGAGGTTGCGCGGCAGCAGTCCATGCTGCGTAGCAAGGTGGATACTGCGCTTTCATCAGCTAAAGAACAGGAAGATGTTCAATACGTGCAGTTGCGAAATTGCTCTCGAGATGCCTTGGCCAATGCTACCCTCAAGTGGAGCTCCGGAAGAGCGCTGGGTCTCTTGGAACCAATCCTCCTTCTCTACTTTGCCCTTGCGGTGGTCGGTCTGGCAGTCCTCACCAAACTCAACTTCATTATTGTCTAGGAGGATGTATTCGCTGTGCGGTGCTGCGTGCGAGAAAAAGCGCGTTCTGTGCTCGAAGCATCTCGAAGCTGTTTCGCAGCCCAGCCCCCTGAAATGTGGATTTGCTAGGCAGGCCCCAAGCCGAAGCCACAGCCGGAGTGAACGCCGTAAGGGCGAAAGCCTCAGAACGCTTTAAGTCCTTGCGGTTAGGCTGCCGACGCTGCCTTCGCTGCCTTCTGTGCACCTGGCAGGTGCTGCCAGCCATAAACGCCGCCGTGCACGGACGCCGCTGGAAGCCCAGGGTTGGCAGCAGCGAGCCTTGAGATATGTAGTAGTTAGTAGCAGAGTAGCAGCGTTTTGGAGGTCACCTTCGAGCTCATCCAGCTCGAGCCTTGATTCCAAAACGCCAGAGGCGGGAACGAGGGATGTAGGGATGTAGGGATAGGAACGCAGGGAGAGGGGAGACCTTCGCGATCGGCAGCAATGTTTTGGTCAGGGTCTGCGATCCGAGTCTGAGCCTGGAGAGAAGCCCAAGGAAAAGCAGGCCAGGATTTAAGTCTGCATCAGTGTCCACAGGAGGCTCAACTCGAGTGGCAGCGTTAACCTGCTCTTCTGCTCACCTGCCATGGTTTTGGGGTTCCCGGCCTCGCGGTGCCATGAGGTCTTCGGCCCGCAGAAGCCATCCAAAGCTTTCGGACCCGAAGGTCAGAAGGGAAGATGATTCTGGTTTCAGCCTGGAGCCTGGGCGGCCTGGGTTTGGCTTGGAGCTTAGGCCCGCCACCTGAAGAGGAAGTGGAAAGGTTCCGGGCTCAGATTTGCACGGCAAGATCTCCGGATTTGAATTGAAGGTGACCATCCTACTGGCAGTTTATGCTGGCCACTACTGTATTTGCTAGGAGGCTGTGAGAAGGAAGCATATGTGCGTACTCGCGAACCTCCCTGCATCTCCACCCCCTTGCTTCAAAGTAGAGAGCCCTCTGAGCATCTCAAATCTGAGGCCAGGCCCCGGACGACGAGTGGCCGCCACCTTGACTGTCACTGCTTTTTGCCTTGACTTGGCATGGCTCTGCACCTTTTCTAAGGCGCAGCCAGGACCTTTCATGAACACTTGGACAGCAGCCGGCATCTTAGCCATCCCATTTTGACGCGCAATGGTCCTTTCCAGCTGAGGGCGAGAAAGAAAAGCAACGGCAGGCGCAAGACCGTGCAAGAATGCTTTGGTGTCCTCCTGAGTTCTAATAGTGCTTGAAGTGATTTGAGCTAGCCTTGCCTTGCTCTCGTTGCATGGACTCTTTCTCTCTCCAGGCTGGGGGAGAAACCGGCGCTGGAGGTGACCGCTCTGTCTTGTACCATGGTATTCCCTCAGTCGGGAAATTGCCTGATGGTTGCAGCAGACAACGGAGGGCCTCCTTCCTCTCTCCTTTCATCTTGTAAACGGGTTCTTTTATTTTGGGTCCGACTTGGGGAAGCCTTTGGGATCTGCACTAGTATGCAGTGCCGCGTGAGCCAACCTGCTCCCGGAAGCAGGGATTGCTTGATGCAAGGTGGAAGGTTGCCCCAGACACATACTGAGAGACGCGTCTGTCCCACAAGGAGACAGAAAAAGACAAGGGCAAAGGGAAAGGCAAAAGACCTGACATGGAGAAGGCCTGGAAGTGCTCCGTGTGCCCCGAGACGAGCCACAATGCCAGGGATTCACCTCTCCCTTCGCTCGTGCACGGCCCAGACGATGAGGACAAAGCCCAAAAGGCTTCTTGAAGGAGCTGTAGCAGACGCAGCAGACGTAGCAGACGTAGCAACGTAGCAGCAGTTGCGAGCTCGAAAGCCCCCCTCGTGCGGGATGGTGGTTTACGTGCCCAGTAGGGCATGGCCCGGGGAACCCTGCGAAGAGCCTGGCGGCCTGGCAGCTTCAGCAGAGCCTTGGACGACAGCGCGGCTTTGGAGGGAAAAGAAGCCTTGTCTTGCCTTGGAGAACTTGTCTTCTGGCCAAACGCACTGAGGATCCGCCTTCCGCGCCTGTAAAAGCTGCAGGCGGGGCTTGGAGAACGTGAAGCCCTTTGCCCTAAACTGTGTATTGCCGAGGCAAACCGGATGTCGCAAGGCTGCCTTCAAAAGCACGGCTGCAGAAGATTCGAATTGGGCGGAGCACTGTCCAGGCCCATGGAGGATGGCTACCCCGGCCACCCGACTCCGTCACAGGCACTTTTGGGCCCATGCCGACTGGATCATGTTGGGGCCCGCTGCAGGCACGAGTTCCTGCAAAGTCGCCGCCCAATTCAGGTAGTTTACTTGATGAAAAGCTTGCGGATCAATGGGCTGTGGTGTGCCAGGAAGGACAATGCCGCAGTCTGCGAACAGTCTCGTGGATGACGGTCCCGATGATGATGGAGGGAGCCTGCCTCAGTATTTGCGTTCAACGCAGCCAGCCTCGTTACGCTGGGCATGATGCGAGCTTCATGAAGTGCTGAGCAACCGAGACGTGCACGATGTTCCATGCGAGACATTGAAATTTTGCAGTCAAGGGTGAAGCAGATGTGCTTAGCAGGATGAACCTCCCGCCAAAGATAAGAATAAAGTCACAGAAAACAAAAGGGAAACCTGAGTGCTGATCGCAAGATGCAGACATCCGTGACAGCCTTGTTACGCTTCTATTCTTGTAGTGGCTGCCATGTTGTGTTGCACTGGCTGCCAACATTTCGGAGTGTCTAACTTCTTCGAAGCTTGAAGTTTGAAGTGCAGCTCGCGTAGACACCAATAGCGGCGTAAATTGAACATGCAAGTGTGGACATGGAGAGTTCTTCCCGTAGGTTGCACCAAGGCCTTTGGTACCGTGCCCTGACTGTGGCCGCAGCTTTAAGGCAGAAAGCCGGTAACTGAGTCAACTTTGTTCAGTGACGTGTACGTCCAGGGCTGTAGCGGTAGCGACACAGTCTCAGGCCTGGAGAAGCACAAGAAGATCTGTAAGAAGGTGCTCATGCTCAGTGCACGTAGGACATGGTGGGATCGATGACTTGCATGCCTGCGTAGGTCTTCCAGCAAAAGCGCAAACAGTTCAACAGCCTCGCTCGCAGATGCTTGCACCTTTAATGAAGTTCATGTCGCTTTTGTATCGGTGAGGTGCTGCCAATCGGCTCGGCGATTTAGACAACGCCAGCGAACTGATAGCAAATGCTTCCAGGCCTATACCCCTTCTGATCGAGTGGGGCAGTACAGAGTTGCGTTTCCAGGATAGATAAGCAGAAGGAGGCTCCAAAGGAGGCAGACAAGACGTCCAAGAAGGAAGGGGTGGCAGGGTAGCAAGGTGCCAGATGCACAGCAGAGAACTGTTTTGAAGGACAAGACCGTCCCGAAGTGGAAGGCGCAGTGGCCCACGCTGCACTTCAGCTCTAAAGGAGCTTGACAGGGTTAACGTTTTCTGGGAGCTCAGGTCCTTGGCATTCCGACAGGCCATCCTCGCTGCAAAGGCATGGAAAGCAGGGCATGCAGGGCATGCAGCTTGAAGAGAAAAACTCGCAGCTGTGCGCAGCCGACAGGGCGCTTCAGGTGACCCAGAAGCAGCCAGAAAGGCGCGGTACGAGCTAGAGAACAGTTTGGGATTCGATTCTTTGCTTCAGGCAGAGGAACTGCAGAAAGAGCTGATTGCAGCTAACCCATCTGGCATGGAGTCAGACATGGTGAGATGCAGCTTGGCAACAGCTTGGGAACAGCTTTGCAACTTGCAGCTACAAGTAGGTACTCCGCATCTTGAAGTCCTGGCTGCTGAGGCCCGCATTGTGGCCGCACCTTCAACAAGGAGGTGTCTTGAGCGGACATCAGAATTCTGCGGACGTGTGCCAGTTTTAGGGTAGGGGATGCGAGGCGGGACAGCGGCACATCGCCATTTGTCTGAAGACCTTTGGCAACAAGCTGGGCCGACAAACCAAGGCGCAGCGTACTAGCCAAGCGCCCAAGAGTTCTCTGCAAACTGGTTTCAACTTTCTTACGGGTTGCACAGAGGCCAACATCCTGGGCCAAAGCACAAACGTGATGCGATTGCCGGATCGCTATTCTCAAGGCATTTAGCCTTCAATAGGATCATGATAGCCAACCACATCAGATGGCCTCATGCACGGGCACATCGCCAGCCGAAAGAGAGGCTTGACTCTTCCGCCCGCACAACCCTAAACTCACCTGGACAGATCGTCTGAATTCTTTGTTCAAGAGATCTCTGACTGAATGGTGACCGCGGAGCCATGGATGTCGAGCTCTTGCAGGCGACATGGAGTTCCCAGCAATTCCAGCTCCGGCGGCAGGCTCTTCTGCCCCGATCTCCTGCTGAGGTTGCCTTTCTGTGCCCTGAACTTAGGTGTCGCGTCGCTGGACATTGAGGACTTCCTCGAGGCCGCAGATGGACCCCCAAGACAAGGCGCCGCCTCCATCTGGCAGTAAAATCAAACCCAAATATGGTTTTCAGATCCCGCAGTTCCACAGCCTGCCGTTGCATATGTCGGCGTCATTCTTGGCGCGCTCTGAGGCAGCATCAAGGATGTGTAGCAAACCTGTTGAGTCGTTCCTTTCGTGGAGAAGTCTTTGTGTGGAGAGCGCAAAATCAGAGCCGAGCAAAGCGCAACTTCGCTGAAGACAGACGCTAATCTGTGGCATGCAGGGCCTATGCAATCAATCTGCAGCATTTTCCTCGGCAGAGATGTCTATGTTGAGGAAGCGAGCCAGCCCCATGTTGGCAGGTGCTCCTAACCAAGACCTCACGGATCAATCGTGTTGCCCTCAGAGACTCTGCAAAGAGGCGTGCCTTACTCAGGCCAGATCTTTTTTTGGAACTGACCTTCAGTGTCCAAGGATCATACCAGTACCTCAGACTTGAAGATGTTGGCTAGGTATTGGCAAGAAAGGTCCACATTTCTAACGCCTCAAGCCAAAGCCGTGGTTTGAACCTCCCAAGCTGATTGCGCGTCGGCTTAATGGAGTGAAAGGTGTGTTGATGTCCGAAGGCTCACTGTTCCAAGTATTTGCGACCTTTCTTTCCTTTGGATGGTGTTCAATTACTCAAGGCTCCGCTTGCTCGTGGTAGACGTTCGGTCTCCTGGAGAGTTCGCCATTGGCCATATCCCAGGTGGGTGTCGTTGTGTCTGACTTGTTACCAACAGCAGATTGCTCCTTCCGGGCCGCAGGTGCGGTGAACATCCCTCTCTTTTCAGACGAGTCGCGGGCAGCTGTGGGCACCGACTTCAAACGCAGAGGCAGATTCGAGGCAGACGCCGAGCAGTGTGCGGGTATTCTTGTGATTGCTCGTGACTTTGCCGCTTGCAAGGCAATCAAGCGCGGTCTGCAACTGGCAGGGCCGAGCTTTGCAGACTTCATAGATGCCTTGCAGGACCCAGAGACTGCCCTGACGTCTTTGAGGCAGAAGCTGAAATCGGTAGCGTTCTTCAATTCTAGCACAGTTCAGTTACACTGTTGGCACTTTTCGGACGGACTCTGCATGTTCATGTGGCTGCGTGACCTTCATCTAGCTTGCATTGCGTCTGCATCACATGATGAGAGCTTCCCTGCCGGGCGAGATGATTTCTCCAACGCGCATGCATGCACGGGCCAAAATACCCTGCGTGCACTCGGAGAAGCGAATTCAGTTATGACAGCGTCCATGCAATGACACACAGCCTCGCAGAGAGAAGTTACACGGACGAGTTGCAGTGTTAACAGCCCTCATGGCCTCAATAGCATTCTGCCGAATTATGACATCATTCTGTGCACGAAGAATCTCGAGCTCCTGCTGGTGCGGAACTGACTCGTCAAGCTTTGTTTCATTCTACCAGTCCTTCCATGTCCTGCGCTCCTCGCTCAAGGGCTTCCCTCTCCGTCACACATCCCCTGGACCGTCCACAGCGTCAGCACCACAATCTCGAACTCTGTCTATCTTGGCCATGCAGACCCTGCGCGTGGTCCGCCCGTCACATGCCCACAAAATGCTGCGGCATGCCGTGCTCTCCACGGTTCTTACAAGGGCTAGGCACCTCTGAATGCCCCGCAGAGCTCAGCCGTGCCATCAGTGCCAGGAGCATGGTGCAAAGCCAGGCAGTCGCTTGCTGGTGTACTGCGCCCTGGCAAAAAATGTGCAACAACTTGTAAGAAAAATTACGTCTCCTAGTCTGGCTACAGAAAGGCCTGAGGAGAAAGGGCCCCAAACCATCCAAGACTGTTTCGATGACTTTGAGGCTGGCGAGGTGGGATGCGCTCGGGCTCCATGGCCTGGCTGTTGCCTGGCAGTTCAGACTCCTTGAACTGGAAACAAACTCCTTCATTGGAAGCTGAAGCCCTTGGCCTAGGTTCACCCTCTGCGGCTACGAGGCCTAAAGTCCTTAGAGGAGGATCCGTTCTCTGCCCGAAATTGACAGGTGCAGACTTTGAAAGGAGGCTACCGCAGCTACAGGCGATGGTGAGCTGACCTCAGGAATCCTTGCGTCTGGAAATTCTCGATGTTGTACTGGTAGCGAAACTACGCTTTCATAGTGGACACTGACTCGTAGGGTGCAGCCTGCATGAGTCACCTGCTTTGGGTCTTGCAGGGTCAGCAGTCATGAAACCTCGCTCGTCCACCCAGTCTAGGCCGGGCACTCGTCGGGCAAGAGCACGCCAAAGCACCAGCGACGGTGGCCTTGCTGCGACATGCGTTTGCAGATGTTGCTGGGAATTCAGTTCTTTGCTTAGTTTTCACCAGGCCGCGGCAGGGTTTTTTGTCCCACTGGGTTTTAGTCCTGCCTGTACGGAGGCGGTATTCACCACGGACAGAGGTCTTCCTTGTCACGGTTTTCTTTCAACCACATGTTGTGCTGGGAAGTGTGTTGACAACAGGCTCAACGCGGTGACAATCATGTATTTTCTCGTTTGCATTGATTGTTCGTTCGTTCGAGGTCTGCGTCTTGGGTGGCTGCACAGGCGTCGGAAGCACCAACTTGCCCGGGTAGCTGTCAAAATATGGTGCAGTGGACAATAGCACAGACACGGCTCTTCCCCGTGAAAAGGCGTGGGAAAGACGGCTGTGCTGTTGGAGCTGCGTCGACGAGGTGAGCAGATCCTTGATTTAGAGGCCCAGCGCTTTGACCTAAAGCATTGCGCAGTTCGCAGTGCTTTCAGTTTGTTCACGAAAAGGGCTTGGCCAAGCACAGGGGCTCCGCTTTTGGCATTGCGCTCAGGGTGAGACTCCTCTCAGAAAGCAAGTTCCATCGCTCCGATTTCCTGCGAGTTCGTACGAGGTGCGATTGGTCAGCCTGCGCAGCCCAGCAATGAGGCGACATGAAATCGGCTTTTCATCATTCGGAGTCAGACAATCATTCGAACATGTTAGCTTTTGCTGGGAGGCCTATGAAAACATCCTTGCCTTTGCAGTCCGGCGAGTAAAGCCAGAGCTGCGGCTGTGGCTGGAACACGAGTCTAGACATGTCGGAAAGGCCTGATGGGAGTCTCTCACCTCGAAGTAAATCTGAACCAGAACTTTCGCCAAAGTGACAGAGATGTGATTCTAGAAAGCGAGATCCAGAGTGGTGGAGGTGCTCATTCCACCAGGTATCCTGTCCTGGGTAATGAAGCCCAGCGGGAGCCTTGGGAAGACGGTGCTCAGAGGCTTGTGCTTATCCTTCGGCTTGTGAACTGAGGTGCGATGGTTTTGATGACCATGGCACAATCTCTCAGGGTGCAAAGGTTGGTGGAAGATTACTGCACCCAAGCGAAGCTCCAGGAGCACGGACGGGAGCAGCTAAAAGCATGTTCCTCATCTTAATGGTTTTCGGGGCTCAAACCGGCACATACTCCCCGTATTATTCGGGCATTCTGTCAAACTGCTAAGCAGCTTGGATGCGAGGCATCAGCGGGGGCTTGGCCAAGAAGCTCGGCGGCCAACGTGTCAAGGAAACCACGCCGGAGAAGCCATAGGGCATCACAGGGTCAAAAGACCCCAGATCGCACGAACGGCAAAAGAGGAAGGAGAGTGAACTGCACTTTGAATCAACGTGGAGGAGGCGCTGCAGATGTTGGACGAAGGACGTTGGGAAGAGGCAAAGAGCGACTGGCAAAAACCTTCCCAGTCAGTTTTTAGTCACGGTTTTAAGCGGAGGTAGCCGCAAGGATGCTGGATTATTACGACAAACTCTACGACAGTTGGGCGAGCCAAAGCCACTGCCTCCAACGCATCGATGTCGAATGCCGCACCCTTGGAGCCTTTGGTCTGGTCAGCATCCAGCTATTTCCGTGTTTTTTTTTAAACCCCAGGCCCGAGTGCAGATGCTTCCGACAATGCCGAGCTTGTGCTGAGTGCTGCGAATGCTGCGAGGCGAGGCGCGTCTTCAGCTGAAAGCTTGCAAAGCTTGCAAAGCTTGCAAAGCTTGCAAAGCTTGCAAAGCTTGCAAAGAGCAGCCTGGTCTGGCTAGGCTGCAGGGGCTACAGGAGCAAGCCATCAGTGGGTCCTGCGATCTACGCAAGGATCCTGAGCCCACGCAGACGGAGGCACTGGCAATTCTTGCGATTGCTGGGCCTGTTGGGCCTGCTGGGCCGTTCCGATGTCAATGACTGCAAGGTGGCGGCTTCCACAGAGCCTTTGCGAGAAGTTGAAGGTGCCTGTTACTGCGACCTGACTGCGCTTTGGAGGTGCTTTCAGCTCCTTTCAGCTCCTTTCAGCTCCTGGCCCAGGTGGCGAGGTGCGAGTCCGCTGCAGAAACGAGCCGCGTGCAGTAAGCTTCTCGACGGCTGGATTCACTGGATCACGTCAGCGTACCTGCTTCGAAATGTCATTTCAAGAAAGCTTCAGCGCACCACCCTAGAATCCGCTACAATTGAGCGTGAGATCGGAGAAGATGAGGCAAACTTCGGCCTACCCCGTTATACCTACATTGGAGTGTGGTATGCAAAGGAATCGTTTGACCTGTCTAGGCGCA